CCCCCCTCCATCAACACCCCTACACACAGACCAATGTCGTGCAACACCCCAGTCGAGTCACCCTGCAAAGTTGCAGCCATTTTCAATTACTATCAGGAGCCGAGGAGAAGCCACAGGGTGGGCGCCAGGAGCAGGGTGGTGACGAAGGCTGTGATAAAGGCCGTGGGCGTGGCTGTGGGCGGTGCCAGGGCGGAGTCGCTGAGGGCGGAGGCGTGACAGCCCAGGTCTTCGGAGTGGAGGTCAAGCAGGGGCACATGTTGACCCGTAGATGGTTCGTAGCACGTGGCAGCTCTCGCCAGGGTGTGCACCTGTAGGGAGAGTGAGTGAGGGAGAGTTAGTGAGGGAGAGTTAGTGAGGGAGAGGTGAGAGACCTACAAGGAGGGAAGTAGGTATAGTGAGAGACAAGTAAGAGACCTACAGGGACGTCCCTACAGTAGAAATACAACATTTTCTACAGTAGAACTACAACTTATTATACTGAATAAAAACAACAGTTTTTATTCTACAGAAGAATACAATGGTTCTTAAAGTATAAATCGAGCGGTTCATTCAGTAGTTAACAAAGTACTTACTAAGACTCTAATATTTCCAGTTGGTATTTAACATCTTTTTATAACAAGAATTCAACAGCTTCCACAAAATAGATTCACAAGTCTACGGTAAGAATTAAGGGCTCAGGGCATTTAGAATTTAACATCGTCTACTGTCGAATATGAAGCTGTTGAAGATATGTAAACTGTTGAAGACAGAAAGGCAGACTGAGAGAGAGTGAGAGACAGGCAGACAGACTGAGAGAGAGAGAGACAGGCTGACACACTGAGAGAGAGTGAGAGACAGGCTGACACACTGAGAGAGAGTGAGAGAGACAGGCAGACAGACTGAGAGAGAGTGAGAGAGACAGGCAGACAGACTGAGAGAGAGTGAGAGAGACAGGCAGACAGACTGAGAGAGAGAGAGAGACAGGCAGACAGACTGAGAGAGAGTGAGAGACAGACAGACAGACTGAGAGAGAGTGAGAGACAGGCAGACAGACTGAGAGAGAGTGAGAGACAGGCAGGCAGACTGAGAGAGAGTGAGAGACAGGCAGACAGACTGAGAGAGAGTGAGAGACAGGCAGGCAGACTGAGAGAGAGTGAGAGACAGGCAGGCAGACTGAGAGAGAGTGAGAGATAGGCAGACAGACTGAGAGAGAGAGAGAGAGAGAGAGAGAGAGAGAGAGAGAGAGAGAGAGAGAGAGAGAGAGAGAGAGAGAGAGAGAGAGAGAGAGAGAGAGAGAGAGAGACAGACAGACAGACAGACAGACTGCGAGAGAGTGAGAGAGACAGGCAGACAGACAGACAGAGAGTGAGAGACAGAAGGAGACAGAGAGCACTCACCTGCTGGGCGCCCTTCAACATAGCCGTGTGTATCTGAAGTGTCTCACGGAGCCAGCGCCTTAACCACCGTCCCAGCCACACTAGGGAACACTCACACGTCCACTCGTTGCCCTCCAGAGCCAGACCTCCTGTGGGGACACACGGCCGCATCACTACAAGGGTGCAGTGGGGGAGGAGGAAGAGTAGGGGGTGTAGGGAGAGGTAGAGTGGGTGGGACATGAACCATTAAGATTAGCAGCAGCAGCAGCAGCAGCAGCAGCAGCAGCAGCAACAATAGCGGAGGTTTATGCAACGGGAGCTGTTGGAATAACAGAGACATCAGTAGCAATACCTCCTGTAGGTTCCTTTAATGTAGCTGTCTGTCTGTCTGTCTCTCCCTCTCTCTCTCTCTCTCTCTCTCTCTCTCTCTCTCTCTCTCTCTCTCTCCTCTCTCTCTCCTCTCTCTCTCTCTCTCTCTCTCTCTCTCTCTCTCTCACACCTCCCCCTTCCCCCTTTCTCTGACACCTTGCCCCTTCCTCTGGTGTGTAAGAGAATTCCTACAACTATTTAGGGAATCCTTGCATAAAATATTGCCTTCATTAAGTCAATGATTTAAAATTCATTGCTCACTCTGGTAGCTAAAATTTCCCTCGGGTGCGCCTGTGTTTTGTGGTTCTTATTAATTAATATGAACATTGTGGTATCATTTTTAGTGTGTGTGTGTTTGTGTGTGAGTGTGTGCATGCGTGCGTGTGTGTATTCACCTATTTGTGCTTGCGAGGGTTGAGCTTTGGCTCTTTGGTCTTTGTGTGTGTGTGTGTGTGTGTGTGTTTTACTAGTTGTGTTTACTAGTTGTGTTTTTGCGGGGGTTGAGCTTTGCTCTTTCGGCCCGCCTCTCAACTGTCAATCAACTGTTTACTAACTACTTTTTTTTTTTTTTTTTTCCCACACCACACACACACACACACAAACACCCCAGGAAGCAGCCCGTGACAGCTGACTAACTCCCAGGTACCTATTTACTGCTAGGTAACAGGGGCACTTAGGGTGAAAGAAACTTTGCCCATTTGTTTCTGCCTCGTGCGGGAATCGAACCCGCGCCACAGAATTACGAGTCCTGCGCGCTATCCACCAGGCTATGAGGCCCCCCCAAGGCTATGAGGCTATGTGTGTGGTGTGTGTGTGTGTGTGTGTGTGTGTGTGTGTGTGTGTGTGTGTGTGTGTGTGTGTGTGTGTGCGTGCGTGCTGTATAGAGGTTTAATCTGTCCATCAATAGCAATTACGGATCCTAAATCTTTAATCCAGAGTCACCCTCGCTTATCCGGTTGATCCGAGCAAGATTACCGATAATCCCTTTTAAAAAAAAGGCCATTTTTGTTGGCCCGGGCGGGGAGAGGATCAAGAAATATCCAGTTGAAAAGGTAATATCCGCCCCTCCTTCGTGGTGTGGCCTCGTATTGATCGGTTGCCGCGTATTGATCGGTTGCCGCGTATTGATCGGTTGCCGCGTATTGATCGGTTGCCGCGTATTGATCGGTTGGCTCGTATTGATTCTTACATTTACCTCTGAGGGTCTTTGGTCCTCTTTAGACAAGGTCACACAAATGCGCTCAACATGCACACTCAGTAAACGCACTCAACACACGCACACACTCATCGAAATATTTCAGGTGATTGGTGAAGATTAAGCCACCCAAGAGGTGGCACGGGCATGAATAGCCCGTAAGTTCAGGAGGTCTTTGCATTAGAACCAGCGTAGAGACCTAGGTTGCAAGATGAAAGACTGGAGGAAATACTGGATGACATAGTAGTCACTGTAGAAAAGGAGAGAGAAAATCCTGTAGGAACTTGATGTGAACTTGAGGGGCCTCGTAGCCTGGTGGATAGCGCGCAGGATTCGTAATTCTGTGGCGCGGGTTCGTTTCCCGCACGAGGCAGAAGCAAATGGGCAAAGTTTCTTTCACCCTGAATGCCCCTGTTACCTAGCAGTAAATAGGTACCTGGGAGTTAGTCAGCTGTCACGGGCTGCTTCCTGGGGGTGGAGGCCTGGTCGAGGACCGGGCCGCGGGGATACTAAAACCCCGAAATCATCTCAAGATAACCTCAAGATATAACGAGACACAATCAATGCGACCAGGGCTAATCTCACCCGGGCTGCTGAAGGAGACTGCAGAAGCACTCTCTTCCCCATTGTCTGAAATTGTTAATAAAACACTTAAGGCAGGAAATCCCACAGGTGTCTGAAAATAGGTGATGGAATAGAGGACACTCGACTACAGATGAGCATCATTGACAAGTATTCCTACCCTGAGACAGCTGGGGAGGGGGACGCCTGACAGCTGGGGGGGGCGCCTGACAGCTGGGGGGGGCGCCTGACAGCTGGGGGGGGCGCCTGACAGCTGGGGGGGGGCGCTGACAGCTGGGGGGGGGGCGCCTGACAGCTGGGGGGGGCGCCTGACAGCTGGGGGGGGGGGCGCCTGACAGCTGGGGGGGGGGCGCCTGAGCTGGGGGGGGGCGCCTGACAGCTGGGGGGCACCTGACAGGGGGGGGGGGCGCCTGACAGCTGGGGGGGGGCGCCTGACAGCTGGGGGGGGGCGCTGACAGCTGGGGGGGGGCGCCTGACAGCTGGGGGGGCGCCTGACAGCTGGGGGGCGCCTGACAGCAGGGGGGGGGCGCCTGACAGCTGGGGGGGGCGCCTGATAGCTGGGGGGGCGCCTGACAGCTGGGGGGGCGCCTGACAGCTGGGGGGGCGCTGACAGCTGGGGGGGGCGCCTGACAGCTGGGGGGGGGGCGCCTGACAGCTGGGGGGGCGCTGACAGCTGGGGGGGGCACATGACAGCTGGGGGGGGCGCCTGACAGCTGGGGGGGGGGCGCCTGATAGCTGGGGGGCGCCTGACAGCTGGGGGGCGCCTGACAGCAGGGGGGGGGGCGCCTGACAGCTGGGGAGGGGCGCCTGATAGCTGGGGGGGCGCCTGACAGCTGGGGGGGGCGCCCTGACAGCTGGGGGGGGGCGCCTGACAGCTGGGGGGGGGGCGCCTGACAGCTGGGGGGGGCGCCTGACAGCTGGGGGGGGCGCCTGACAGCTGGGGGGGCGCCTGACAGCTGGGGGGGGGCGCCTGACAGCTGGGGGGGGGCGCCTGACAGCTGGGGGGGGGCGCTGACAGCTGGGGGGGCGCCTGACAGCTGGGTGGACAGCGCTTCGGATTCGTAGTCCTGGGGTTCCGGGTTTGATCCCCGGTGGAGGCGGAGTCAAGTGGGCAAAATGTTTCTTTCATCCCTGATGTCCCTGTTATCTAGCAGTAAATAGGTACCTGGGAGTTAGATAGCTGCTACGGGCTGCTTCCTGGGGGTGGAGGCCTGGTCGAGGACCGGGCCGCGGGGACACTAAGTCCCGAAATCATCTCAAGATAACCTCCACCAAGCTGGCCCACACACCACCCACCTTCTAGCAGAGAGACACACACGCACACACACGCACGCACGCACACACACACACACACACACACACACACACACACACACACACACACACACACACACACACACACACACCACACACACACACTCACTCAGATTAGAGGGCTGGCTGGCTGAGTGGACAGCGCTCTAGAGTCATTGACCTAGGAACCCGGGTTCGATCCCGGCAGCGGGCGGAAAAACAAATGGGCAGAGTTTCCTTCACCCTGATGCTCCTGTTACCTAGCAGTAAATAGGTACCTGGGAGTTAGACAGCTGTTACGGGCTGCTTCCTGGGGTGTGTGTAAAAAAAAAAATAATGGTTAGTAACAGTTGATTGACAGTTGAGAGGCGGGCCGAATGAGCAGAGCTTAACCCCCGCAAGCACAACTATACGAATACTAGGTGAATACACACACCATACCTATGTACTTTCTCAAGCAGATCCCAAAATGCAGTCGTTTATCAAAGTAACAAGAACTCTTCAGAACGTGACAGTTAGGAGCGTGATTTTCCAACATTGTCCTATTGTCCAAATGTCGTCCAGATGTTCCCTGTGTCGTACGGGCGTCGTATTAGTCTCCAAGTGTCATTCCGGTGTCGTCTGGGTGTCATGCAGGTGTCTTACAAGTGTCCAGGCGTCGCCAACGTGTCTTGTAGGTGTCCAGCTGATAGTCATGTACGACACTAATCAACTGCTTCGCAGAGAGGATCGTTTGACCCGCGAAACTCTAGGTAAATTAAGGGAGGGAGGGGTAGAGGAGAGAGGGGAAGAGGGAGGGGAATGATGGAGAGGGAAGGGTGGTTGAAGAGGGGAGGAGAATATTGAAACGATGCTGGATGCAAAGACAGCCAGCCAGGCAGGCAGGCAGCCACCCACCCAGCCACCCAGTCAACCAGCCAACCAGCCAGTCAACCAGCCAGTCAACCAGTCAACTTACCAGCCACAAAGGTGGTTCCTTTACTCTCCCAGTCTGAGCCGTTCTCGTAGAGGACGTCGGAGTTGAGGAACTTGAGCTGGTTCCTGCTGAGGTCGAGGGTGAGGTAGGCCACATCTGACAACTGCGTCAGGAGACCTTCAGGCAGCGATTGTATCGATGTGTCCTGCGGGAGAGGCGCGACTCTGTACATGTGGTGATGTGATACACTAATACATTCATGAGGCCATGAGGTACATTAGTAGATACATGTGGCTATGAGGTAGATTGCAAGAGTCATGGGGGCTATGTAGGCCACTGGCAGATTCGTGGAGTTATGTGGTAGACTAGTAGATACGTGGTTATGAGGTAGACTAGTAGATACATAGAGATATGAGATAGACTAGTAGATACCTCATGATATTCTGATATAGTCTATTTAGTCTATATCAGAATATCTGATATAGATACATTTATATGTGAAAAGAATATTCAGACATGAGTGAGAAGGAAGAATGAAGCGTATGATTGGAATGAAGCGAATGAACGAATGAAGCGAATTGAGAGAGTAAGCGATAATGAATAAAGTACAGAAATAGAGGAAAACTGTGTACAGTAGAGAAATCAATGAGGAACAGAGACAGTGGAAATAAATGAGGAACAGGTGAAGAAGGAACGAATGATGAACAGAAATAATGGATAAGAATTAGATATAAAAGTAATGAGACATAATGTAAATAAGGTAATTTTGAATTTAAGTCTAAATAAAGAATAATGAATCATACGTAAAGAATTGAAACACATGTAATGGAAGAATGAGAAAGAGGAGCATGAGGGCAAGGAACGCGCTTGAGAAACAGTGAAGAATAATGAGAGAGAGCACACAAGAGGACTGATGTAGGGAAGTAGGGAAGGCGGAAGATAAAGATGGTGATGAAGAAAGGGGAAGATAAGTATGAACGGGTCAGACTACTTGTTTTAATGCTAAGTTATGTCTCACTAGCTTGGTGAGGTCAGAGGGAGAGAGTGAGGGAGAGTGAGGGAGGGAGAGGGAGAGAAAAGGAGAGAAATGGGGGAGAAAGGAAGGTATATACATCTTCTCCTATGTCTGTTGTTACATTAACAGCAACCACCTAACCACCACCATCACCAGTGCTACCACGATCACCAGTACTCTTATTACCACCACCACCACTACTCCCACTGCTACTACCACAACTATTACCACTTCTACCCCACAACTACCACTTCTACCCCCATAACTATCACTTTTATCCCCCCACAACTACCCCTTCTACCCCCACAACTACCACTTCTACCCCTACAACTACCACTTCTACCTCCACATCTACCCCTAACTCCCCTGAGGATAATGATTATAAAGTAGATGATAAAGATGACGAAGAAGATATTAAAGAAGGAGATTACACATAACCCAGTTGTTGTCTTGGGTCAGTCTCGAGGGTGAAAGACGTAGTAGAGGAGGAAGAAGTAAGGATAAATCTAGGAAATGACAGGAAAATTACCTTAGGGAAGGAGGAGGAAGAGGAGGAGGGCAAGACAATGGAAAAGAGGAAATGGAACAGGAAGAGATAAAGGAGTGGCAAAGTGGCCTTACTGAGGTAGTGAAGATTGCTGCCATTATCAGGGAGATGTGCCAGAGGGAGAGAGAGAGAGAGAGATGTATTACATGGAAGAAGAGAGAGAGAGAAGTGAAACGGAAGAAGGAAGAAGAGGTGAGCAAGAGTAAAGAAAGAGAGGAAAGAATACAAGACAGAGATAAGGAATAACATAGAGGAGAGCGCATCGCTCTACTGTAGAAATTCTAACATCAATCCTTTGTTTGGGACCGGAACTCTCTCCCCGGGTGAGAGTGAAGGTAGAGACTGTGAGTGAAGGTAGAGACAGTGAGGGAGAGAACATGAGGAGGAAGAGGGTATGAGAGAAGGAAGACACACAAAACAGAGGATGAAGAAAGAATAGGACAGCGTGGTGTATAAACCCGAACGCCTTGAACGTATTAAACACGCGGTGAATGTATACCATACATCCTACAGGTTATACATGCAAGGTGATGATAACGTAGGGATTAGAGAACACTTGAGAAAGAAAAAAGTAGCAAGAAATAAGTAATAACGTTAGGAAACAGTGAACAAGTATTGAGGGAGAGAGAGAGAGAGAAACGGAGGAAAAGGGACATAGCAGCAAGAAATAATAAAGAAGAGATAAGAGAAGCAGTAAAGAACAGTGAAGAATGACACTGCTGCTCACCAAATAGAAAACAGTAACTTTGGTGTATTGTGAAATCCTCTGCAAGCCTCGGGGCAATAAATGGAGGTAGACAGGAGAGAGGGGGAATAAATGAAACAGTAAGGAGAAAAGGGGAACATTTTGAGACAGAGAATAATGACAAATGAGAAGCCCCCACCGGCAAGAGATAGCCAGGAGTAGAGAGTGTGTATCTAGACCCCACGAGGGTCTGGCAGTCAATGTTTAGTCTGCAAATCTCGGAGCGGAGGAAGGAAGTGACAGGAAGCTGAGGAACAGGAAGGAGAATTAGAGACAAGAAAGAGAAAGACCGGTGGAAGAGAAGTAGAGTTGAAGATATCACAAGCAGTAGGTTAATGTCTTACCGTAATTACACACAGAAATCACAATTGCGTGATGCATCAAATGAACAAATCCACAAGGGCCGTGACGAGGATTCGAACCTGCGTCCGAGAGCATCGGTTTCAACTCTATTTTGACCATGTCTTAGCTCAGTCGATTAAGGCAGCGACTGGGATGCTCTCGGACGCAGGTTCGAATCCTCGTCACGGCCCTTGTGGACTTGTCTTACCGTAATGCTCAGCCAGAGTTCGTGTTTATTCTGGAATCCTCTGAAAGTCTTAGAGTCGATGTCCTTGAGGTTCCTTCCGGTGATGTGAAGCTCTTTGAGTTTGGGTCCGAAGGCGCCTGTGATCTGGTCGGTGAGGGCGTTCTCCCGCACCTCCAGGTGAAGCTTCTGAAGCGTGTGCACCGTGGCTAACAGGTGACCTGTCCGGAACCTGGCGCGGGCAGACAGGTTAATTAGTCTTTACTATACCTCACCTGAGGGGGAGGGGTGGCGCCCCATCCCCGTGGTCGTGGGAACGGGGGATTAAGGGTGCTTTGGCAGCCTTTGGATAATGACTGATTGTTATGGCGAGTGAGTATTATGTGATTTATTGCTTTCAAGCATGTTTGACCACCTTATTGTGTGTGTGTGTGTGTGTGTGTGTGTGCTCTGACTGGCACTGCCATATGACCCCCACTGACCCTCGACACTCACCTGTACTTCTCAATGCCTGGGAAGGTGTTCATGTAGAGCTCCCTCAGGAAGGTCATGTGTGAGAGAGCATCGTAGTCGAACCTGGAGATTTGGTCCAGGTTTCGTAGCATCAGCGTCTCTATGTTCGACGCCCCACCGAAGCTGTCCTTCGTCAGCGACTACAGCAGGAGAGAGAGAGAGAGAAGAAGAAGAAGAAATTATCAGATGGAAAACGCAGAGAGAGAGAGAGAGATAGAGAAGAAGACCTTTGCAATTACCAAGCACTCCTGACCCAAGATAACCTAACAGTAAAACACCTCCATCTCTCCTACCCATCTTGATGGACTCTTAAATATATCACTGCGAACCACTGAGCCAAATTTAGACCGGTTCTTGCATCATCCTCTCGACTATCTTAACATTTTCCGTTGTATTTAAAGGTCACAGATGCCTTCCCCAGCGAACTTCTCCCTGCTTCACCGACTTCAGCAGGAGAAAATGTCTCATATGAAACAACTTTGGACCTCATCCGGCCTAAGTTTAGAGGGCCAAAATTATTTTCTAATCTGTTGAGCATCTGCCGATACTTTTTTTTTAAGCTAAAACGCTTCGATACATTAAATTCATTAATATTTTCATTAATAGTATTATTATTATTAATAGTATAAGTAGTAGTAGTATTATAGCAATAGTGCTAGTAGTGGTATAAGTGGCAGTAGTACTTAATGTACTAGTATTATTTTTATTTCATTAAGCAAAAGAGAAAGACATCATTTAAGTGTGTGTGGGACGGTTGGATGGGGAATATATATGTGTGTGCCTACAAGATGTGCTTGCTGGGTAGAGCGTTAGCTCCTAAGCCCAAGTTAGAAACAGTGTAGGCTCTAGTTCAGCCCATGAGGTACCTCGCTAACATTGTGATATATATATTCCCTCTCACCTTCATCCTTGGATTCCTTTCTGCAAGGTACTCCTTCGCCCAACTAAGAACTCTGGCCTCTAAACCACCCAAGTTTTCTTATCAAACTGAAGTTACAGTTCAGGAACGACGCCGAAGCTTTCTGACAACCCACTATGTATTGTACACACACATTTGGCCGTTAATGAAGCTGTAATTTATATTCTGGGCTTCATAAACATCATATAAATATAGGCTCAAGGACAATATAAATTCCATAACTTCGTAATTGACAAGTCGTGTAAAAATGTGAAGTTAGCAGTTCTGCAATCATCTCAACCTCTTCGTTGATGATTGTTCACACGTGTGTATATATATATATATATATATATATATATATATATATATATATATATATATATATATATATATATCCTTGCTGTATTTCACATGTATGCGTGTATTGTGTATACTAATAATACAAGGAGAGGGTGGGTGAGAGAGGGGCAGACACAACAGGGTTACCTGCATGGGGATCCTACTGTCCATTACGGCGTTTAGACAATACTCTGAATTATTGAAGAGCTTAAAGCTGAACCAGAACTAAAAGTTACATAGTGCAGCTTATAAATGACTCTGCTGGCTCCCCACACCTGTATACAATTGCAGGTGTGTGTACTCACGCTCATTGGTATACCTGATTACGTCACTGAAGCGCTTTGTGGTAAAAGAGCACCGGGAAGGTATTTGACACGGGTGAAGCAACACATATGGTTACTTGACACGGGTGAAGCAACACATATGGTTACTTGACACGGGTGAAGCAACACATGTGGTTACTTGACACGGGTGAAGCAACACATATGGTTACTTGACACGGGTGAAGCAACACATATGGTTACTTGACACGGGTGAAGCAACACATGGTTACTTGACACGGGTGAAGCAACACATATGGTTACTTGACACGAGTGAAGCAACACATGTGGTTACTTGACACGGGTGAAGCAACACATGGTTACTTGACACGGGTGAAGCAACACATGGTTACTTGACACGGGTGAAGCAACACATGGTTACTTAACACGAGTGAAGCAACACATATGGTTACTTGACACGGGTGAAGCAACACATGGTTACTTGACACGGGTGAAGCAACACATATGGTTACTTGACACGGGTGAAGCAACACATGGTTACTTGACACGGGTGAAGCAACACATATGGTTACTTGACACGGGTGAAGCAACACATGGTTACTTGACACGGGTGAAGCAACACATATGGTTACTTGACACGGGTGAAGCAACACATATGGTTACTTGACACGGGTGAAGCAACACATATGGTTACTTGACACGGGTGAAGCAACACATGGTTACTTGACACGGGTGAAGCAACACATGGTTACTTGACACGGGTGAAGCAACACATGGTTACTTGACACGGGTGAAGCAACACATATGGTTACTTGACACGGGTGAAGCAACACATATGGTTACTTGACACGGGTGAAGCAACACATATGGTTACTTGACACGGGTGAAGCAACACATGGTTACTTGACACGGGTGAAGCAACACATGGTTACTTGACACGGGTGAAGCAACACATATGGTTACTTGACACGAGTGAAGCAACACATATGGTTACTTGACACGGGTGAAGCAACACATGGTTACTTGACACGGGTGAAGCAACACATATGGTTACTTGACACGAGTGAAGCAACACATATGGTTACTTGACACGGGTGAAGCAACACATGGTTACTTGACACGGGTGAAGCAACACATGGTTACTTGACACGGGTGAAGCAACACATATGGTTACTTAACACGAGTGAAGCAACACATATGGTTACTTGACACGGGTGAAGCAACACATATGGTTACTTAACACGAGTGAAGCAACACATATGGTTACTTGACACGAGTGAAGCATCATATAAGATTACTTAACACGGGTGAAGCAACACATATGGTTACTTAACACGGGAGAACCAGTACATATAGTTACTTAACACGAATAAAGCATCATATAAGATTACTTACCACAAGTTATCAGGGAATGTTTGTAAATATGTTTACTTATTTCTTATGCGGCATTTTCCAAGGCTATTGCTCTCAATAACATCGCCTGTACACCTGTATCCTTCTCCCAAACACCTGTCTTCTCCCGGGATAGATCTGTTAATCCTAGGATAGACCGCCTAGCCGTCTGATTTCCCCATCCCCCCTTCCCCCCAGCCCATTATCTGGGACAAACTACTGCCCACTCTTATTCGACACCTCCTGTCTCAAGGCTTTCTTGAGACGTCTGTTCACATATGTTTTGGGAAATAGCAGACATTCTTGTATTTTCTTGAGCTGTAGGGAGGGGTAGCTTTTCCGGTGTTGTTTCCTGTTTAGAATTAGAGTTTATAAATATCTGGCAAGGGTCTTGAAGGCTGTCAGGTTACTGTTTTAATGCTCCAGTATTTGCCTACATGTTGAGCTAATTATATGATACAGGTAAACTAATTACTCTAAGTAGGTAAAACAAATTATCCCGAGCCGGTAAACATAATTATCCTGTGCAGTGAACCTTTCCCACTTTCGACTACGTTACTCACCTGCCTGGCCCACCCTTTCTCGCTTGGCCCACCTCCCCTCGTCTGGCCCACCACCCCCGCCTGGCCCACCACCCTCGCCTGGCCCACCTCCCTCGCCTAGCCCAACGCTCCCACTTATTGACCCAACTCACCTGTACGGGATTGAATGAGAGGTCGAGAAACTTGAGGTAGGGCATATGTCTCCAGAGACGTGAGCGGACTTGCGTCAACTGGTTATGAGAGAGATCGAGTGACCTCAGCTGGTAGAGGCTCTCAATCGACTGGACCTCGATCTCCGACATGCCGTTGGAAGAGAGGTTGAGAGAGTTGAGGTTGGGGAGGGGGATGATGGGCGCTGAACTGAAGCCGATGTCGGCCATGTTGAGCTTCTGGACGTTTTGCGTGTAGTGGAAGAGTTCCTTGAAGTTGGCTCGGACGCGATTACCGCTGAGGTCCAGACTGATGAGGCTAGTGAGGCTGACGAAGACGTTGTCGGGGAGGATCGTCAGGCGGTTGGTAGCCAGGTTGAGCTCGATGAGGTTGGGGAAGCTATAGAACATGGTGCTATCCAGGTGCTCGAGATGGTTGTGAGAGATATCGAGGTAGTGAAGCGTCGTCTCCACCTCAGCGAAGCCCGCCGTGGGCATGGACACGAACTCGTTGTGGCAGAGCTTCAGCTTCTCCAGCTGCGTGCCGCGGAAGACGGAGTTCGGGAGGGATCGCAGGTGGTTGTAGGAAAGGTCGAGGATCCTGAGGAAGGTGACGTCGGTGAAGCACTCTGGCGGGAGGTTCTCCAGGTGGTTGTGACTCAGGTCCATGAACTGCACCTTCTCCAGGGAAGCAAACGCTCGCGGCCGAATTTGTTCTATACCGTTGTGCTCGAGACTCAACATCTGGAGTCGATCTAGAGCCCCGAAGGCGCTGCTGTCCAGCTTCTTAATGAGGTTGTACCCGAGGTCGAGCCTCTCAAGGGAGAAGAGGAAGGACCCGAGGAAGTTGAGAGGCACCTCCTTGAGTGAGTTGTGACTCACATCGAGGCGTTTGATTTGTGGCGGGGAGGCAGAGCTTATACTCAGCTCCTGGATCTCGTTAAAGGAGAGGTTGACGGCGAGAGCCACAGACGAGCCTGACACGTTGGCGAAGGCACTCAGAGAGAATTCCTTCAGTCGGTTGTGTTGAAGATCCAGCTCCATCAGACTGGGAATATCGGAGAAGGCTCGGGGCTCAATTTTCTCAATTTGGTTGTCGCTGAGAAGCACTGTATTGAGCTTTGGCAGTGACTTAAAGGCTTCAAAGTGGACTGTTTTGATTTTATTGCTGGTGAGGACAAGCGTTCTCAGGTTGTCGAGGTTGTGGAAGGTGTGAACCTCCAACCGCTCCAGGAAGTTAAGGGCCAGTCTTATGTCGCCGAGGTTCTTGTGGACGTTTTGGTGGAAGAGTGTCTTTGGGATGTGAGTGAGGCGGTTGGAATCCATGTTGAAGTACCGAAGTTCACCGAAAGAGTACAAGGCCGTTTCAGAAATTGTTCTGAAGTTGTTGTTGTCAAGAGCGATCCATTGGAGCGCCGTGAGAGGCTTCAGGACCTCCTCGGGGAAATCATCTCTGTAAAATCCGAAGCTGATCTCCAGAATTTCCAAAGTGTTGAGAATGTCAATAAAGGATTCGGGACTAATGTCGATGATTCTGTTGAAGGAGAGACTCAATTCGCGGAGCTTTGGAGTGTGTTTGAAGGCGTGTGGAGGAATGGTGTAAATTCTGTTGTTTCTCAGCACCAAAGTGTCCAGGTTTTCGCCCCATGACTCAAAGTCTTCTTCCAGTATCTCTGTGATTTGGTTGTGCCCGAGGTTGAGATGGGCGATAGTGCTGCAGTTCTCGAGAGAGGAGCGAGGGATGGCTTTGAGTTGGTTCCCGGATAGACTCAAAGACTCCAGCGTATCGCAGAAGGAACGGAAAGCATCCTCCTTGATTGTGGAGATTTTGTTATCGGGGAGATAGAGATAGCGTAATCTCTTCAAGTGAGACAAGGCCCTTGGAACAGATTCCAGCCTGTTCTTCTCCAGGTCGACCATCACCAGGGAGTGTTCTGGTCCTCCTATGAAGGCGTTGTCACTTATATTGTTGATGTTGTTAGACGACAGATAAAGACGCCCTGGGTCGAGGCCCTGGAAGGCATTTTCCTGAATTTCCGTCAGGAGGTTAAAATCGAGGTGAAGGTCCCGAACTCTTAGGGAACCGTTGAAAAGATTATTAGGAATGAACCGAATGAAGTTTTCCCCTAAATTCAACTTATCCAATTTTTTATGGACAATGAATCCGGTGTCTGGAAGCCTATCTAGGAGGTTTCCTCTGAGAAAGAGCCACGTCAAGTCCTTCATGCTGCTGACGGCCTCGGAGGGGAACCCCGTCAGGAGGTTGTTATTGAGGCTCAGCGTCTGGATGTTCCTGGAAAGGGAGTCACGTTCCAGGGTGAGAATGTTGTTGTCGTCCAGGTTCAACCAGAGGAGCCGCTTGCACCTGGAGAAGACGTCGCGGGGGACGTGGTCGATGTCGTTCTCCCCCAGGAAGAGCGATCCCAAGGTGTCCCGCAGACCCAACCAGTCCTCCGCCAGGAGTTCCGATATGTGGTTCCTGCGGGTGACGAGAAGTTGGATCGAATGAGGTCATGTACCTATAGTCATGTGGCTTATGCTTAATGAAATAACTGAACCTCATATGGGAGGTTCATGAAGTGTTTAGGTGCATCAAAAGAAACAATAGCTATGGCTGAATACCAATTAGCAAAACTAAATTTAGTTGATGCCGTGGGAGGTTCAGCTGATTGGCTTCTGCAGGCTGGAAGGTAAGGCAGCCCCACGATGACCATCCTATGGGATCTGGGAAACAGGTTAGATCAAGCTATGTGATTTCGGCTTGTTCCTCCCACAGCTGCGGAGCGGCTGAGGACTCTCAACAGCCGTGCGAAGTGACTCCTGCGGATGACAGTAGAGTTTATTAAGCAAAGTACAAGCAGCCCTCCTCTACCCTAATACAAAGCCCAAGGAAACATTGTAGGTCTCAAGGAGCGAACTGTCTCTTATTAAATGCCAAGATAACACATTTCATGGACAATAATTACAATAATTATTCCTTGTAGAACTGGCGGGCAAAATATATATATATTTTGAGTCATTTATTTCCCGGGTGTAGACAGACACGCGTAGATCTGTCAACACAGTCGAGGAGGCAAGAGTCACATTACTGTGTTCTTGGTATATGTTACTGAGGCTGAGGTGGTGTCTCTCTCTCTCTCTCTCTCTCTCTCTCTCTCTCTCTCTCTCTCTCTCTCTCTCTCTCTCTCTCTCTCTCTCTCTCTCTCTCTCTCTCTCTCTCTCTCTCTCTCTATCTCTCTCTCTCTCTCTCTCTCTCTCTCTCTCTCTCTCTCTCTCTCTCTCTCTCTCTCTCTCTCTCTCTCTCTCTCTCTCTCTCTCTCTCTCTCCCCCTCCCCCCCCCCACACGTTACTGAGGGTGACGTGGGAGACACAAACTTTTCCTTCTCCAGACAAAAGCGACATATTTGTCTGTTGGTCTCTAGGGTGAGGCAAAGTTTTGTTGTTTTGTGAACCAGCTGCTGAGGTCAGGCTGCCTCTGGTGACCACCTGCTGAGGTCAGGCTGCCTCTGGTGACCACCTGCTGAGGTCAGGCTGCCTCTGGTGACCACCTGCTGAGGTCAGGCTGCCTCTGGTGACCACCTGCTGAGGTCAGGCTGCCTCTGGTGACCACCTGCTGAGGTCAGGCTGCCTCTGGTGACCACCTGCTGAGGTCAGGCTGCCTCTGGTGACCACCTGCTGAGGTCAGGCTGCCTCTGGTGACCACCTGCTGAGGTCAGGCTGCCTCGGGTGTAGACAGACACGCGTAGATCTGTCAACACAGTCGAGGTGACAAGAGTCACATTACTGTGTTCTTGGTATATGTTACTGAGGCTGAGGTGGTGTCTCTCTCTCTCTCTCTCTCTCTCTCTCTCTCTCTCTCTCTCTCTCTCTCTCTCTCTCTCTCTCTCTCTCTCTCACTCTCTCTCTCTCTCTCTCTCTCTCTCTCTCTCTCTCTCTCTCTCTCTCTCTCTATCTCTCTCTCTCTCTCTATCTCTCTCTCTCTCTCTATCTCTCTCTCTCTCTCTCTCTCTCTCTATCTCTCTCTCTCTCTCTCTCTCTCTCTCTCTCTCTCTCTCTCTCTCTCTCTCTCTCTCTCTCTCTCTCTCTCTCTCTCTCTCTCTCTCTCCCCCTCCCCCCCCACACGTTACTGAGGGTGACGTGGGAGACACAAACTTTTCCTTCTCCAGACAAAAGCGACATATTTGTCTGTTGGTCTCTAGGGTGAGGCAAAGTTTTGTTGTTTTGTGAACCAGCTGCTGAGGTCAGGCTGCCTCTGGTGACCACCTGCTGAGGTCAGGCTGCCTCTGGTGACCACCTGCTGAGGTCAGGCTGCCTCTGGTGACCACCTGCTGAGGTCAGGCTGCCTCTGGTGACCACCTGCTGAGGTCAGGCTGCCTCTGGTGACCACCTGCTGAGGTCAGGCTGCCTCTGGTGACCACCTGCTGAGGTCAGGCTGCCTCTGGTGACCACCTGCTGAGGTCAGGCTGCCTCAGGTGACCACCTGCTGAGGTCAGGCTGCCTCAGGTGACCACCTGCTGAGGTCAGGCTGCCTCAGGTGACCACCTGCTGAGGTCAGGCTGCCTCAGGTGACCACCTGCTGAGGTCAGGCTGCCTCTGGTGACCACCTGCTGAGGTCAGGCTGCCTCAGGTGACCACCTGCTGAGGTCAGGCTGCCTCTGGTGACCACCTGCTGAGGTCAGGCTGCCTCAGGTGACCACCTGCTGAGGTCAGGCTGCCTCAGGTGACCACCTGCTGAGGTCAGGCTGCCTCAGGTGACCACCTGCTGAGGTCAGGCTGCCTCAGGTGACCACCTGCTGAGGTCAGGCTGCCTCTGGTGACCAGCTGGGAGCCGGCTCAGGTAACTGTTTATTTGCTGACATCCGTCTGAGCCTATTGCTGTGCTGACACTGATTGTGGGCGTCAGCAGGTCAGTCAGTAGGCCCAGTCAGTAGACCATATATCCCGAGTCACGGATATATGATATAAGGAGCACTCTAAGACACGGATTAGGAGCGTCTGGCTGTCAGCTGGATGAAATGTCAGGGAAATGTCAACTACGGCCACTGTGCTGACATTTTACACTGCCTCCGCCTGTGTGGATGATACCTTACACTGCCTCCGCCTGTGTGGATGATACCTTACACTGCCTCCGCCTGTGTGGATGATACCTTACACTGCCTCCGCCTGTGTGGATGATACCTTACACTGCCTCCGCCTGTGTGGATGATACCTTACACTGCCTCCGCCTGTGTGGATGATACTTACACTGCCTCCACCTGTGTGGATGATACCTTACACTGCCTCCGCCTGTGTGCATGATACCTTCCACTGCCTTCACCTGTGTGGATGATACCTTGAACTGCCTCCACCTGTGTGGATGATACCTTCCACTGCCTTCACCTGTGTGGATGATACCTTGAACTGCCTCCACCTGTGTGGATGATACCTTACACTGCCTCCGCCTGTGTGGATGATACCTTACACTGCCTCCGCCTGTGTGGATGATACCTTACACTGCCTCCGCCTGTGTGGATGATACCTTACACTGCCTCCGCCTGTGTGGATGATACCTTACACTGCCTCCACCTGTGTGGATGATACCTTCCACTGCCTTCACCTGTGTGGATGATACCTTAAACTGCCTCCACTTGTGTGGATGATACCTTAAACTGCCTCCACCTGTGTGGATGATACCTTAAACTGCCTCCACTTGTGTGGATGATACCTTCCACTGCCTTCACCTGTGTGGATGATACCTTGAACTGCCTCCACTTGTGTGGATGATACCTTACACTGCCTCCACCTGTGTGGATGATACCTTACACTGCCTCCGCTTGTGTGGATGATACCTTACACTGCCTCCGCCTGTGTGGATGATACCTTCCACTGCCTTCACCTGTGTGGATGATACCTTAAACTGCCTCCGCCTGTGTGGATGATACCTTCCACTGCCTTCACCTGTGTGGATGATACCTTGAACTGCCTCCACCTGTGTGGATGATACCTTCCACTGCCTTCACCTGTGTGGATGATACCTTGAACTGCCTCCACCTGTGTGGATGATACCTTAAACTGCCTCCACTTGTGTGGATGATACCTTAAACTGCCTCCACTTGTGTGGATGATACCTTAAACTGCCTCCACTTGTGTGGATGATACCTTAAACTGCCTCCACTTGTGTGGATGATACCTTAAACTGCCTCCACTTGTGTGGATGATACCTTAAACTGCCTCCACTTGTGTGGATGATACCTTAAACTGCCTCCACTTGTGTGGATGATACCTTAAACTGCCTCCACTTGTGTGGATGATACCTTAAACTGCCTCCGCCTGTGTGGATGATACCTTACACTGCCTCCGCCTGTGTGGATGATACCTTAAACTGCCTCCACATGCGTGGATGATACCTTAAACTGCCTCCGCCTGTGTGGATGTGATCCGGTTTGGCTTGATGTGGATGCAAAGAAAATAATATATAATCACTGTGCCATGTTGCACAGACCATTCGTGTTGTTTTGTATTACGTAGGTTTTTGTCTTTATAACTAAAGAACAAGAACGTGAGCAACGACTTAAGGTCTATTGGGCAAGACTGACTCCATATATATACCACTAAATGAATTCAGTTGACCAGACCACACACTAGAAATTGAAGGGACGACGACGTTTCGGTCCGTCCTGGACCATTCTCAATCGACTTGAGAATGGTCCAGGACGGACCGAAACGTCGTCGTCCCTTCAATTTCTAGTGTGTGGTCTGGTCAACATACTTCAGCCACGTTATTGTGACTCATCGCCTGCAAATGAATTCAGTTATATGTCAATGCAGAATTGGAAGCAATGAAGTGAACCACTGTCTTGCTAATACCAGATTCCCATTAAACCAGTATTTACCCAGGTCATTCTGATTGATAACTCATATCCTATTGGTTTCCATGGCGTAACGTCTTTCATTGGCGTATTTCAGTTATCTCCACTTGCTATCGAAGCTTTTCTTGAGAATGAAAATAAGGTTTTCCTTCTCTCTCTCTCTCTCTCTCTCTCTCTCTCTCTCTCTCTCTCTATCTATCTGTAAGGTAAAGTTAAGCATTCATGGCATTAACTTTTATCTCCCTTCTCTTATCTTTACTTCTCTTCACCATCATTCTATGGACGGTGTTCAAAACCGATTTTGATAAGTCTCAAAGGGACCTGACAAGGGTAAAATGAAGCTAAGAAAAGTATTAGATATTACTAAGGCAAAGTTCCTGCCTCTTGCAAGATCGACTTTGGGTTCCTGATTGTTCAAGTGGTTTGTCGGCATTCCTTCGTTCTGTCCTCGTATCCCAGCTCCTTGTCCTCGTATCCCAGCTCCTTGTCCTCGTATCCCAGCTCCTTGTCCTCGTATCCCAGCTCCTTGTCCTCGTATCCCAGCTCCTTGTCCTCGTATCCTAGCTCCCTGTCCTCGTATCCTAGCTGCTTGTCCTCGTATCCTAGCTCCCTGTCCTCATATCCCAGTTCC